CTACGGAATCCATTGGAAAATATTTTAACAATAGCATGACTCTAGTACTCCTAAATGGTGCACAATGCTTCTATAAAATGAATACCTTTCGAAAGAATATTGTGATGAATGGAAGCAGTAGAATCGAATTTTGTGTGCTAATAAACAATTATCAGGATTTTCCAACACGTACTCTGGTAGTCACGAACAGACCAGAACTCAGTGCACACACCTAAAGTTATGTTGTTTTTGTAATTCAAAATAGGCACAGAATAACTTACGGAGTAATTGTTAGTTAGTACAGACATAAAATATATGTGATAGGAATCCAAGTGTCTCTCATATGTTTACTGAAGAGTTTATTAGTCTACCATTGATTGGTCACTAGGTAGTGATCAATGTCATGTATGTCAGGTCTTTCTTAGTGCAGATCGAATCTTATCGACCAAGTTGCAATGCGACTATCAGTCTAGGTGACTCGATATTGCGCGTACTATTTTGAGGTAAGATGGTGGTCGGAGGTATTCAACAGGAAACCCCGGACACATGTTTCGTTCTACTTGGCACTCGTCAGCAAGGTGCACCTTTAATCTTGAAAGAACCGATGCTCGCTGATCACCACCCGGTGATTAATCAATTGTAAATACATCTCAATCATGCAGGAGGTCAGTCGCGGCCTGGATAGCCCAGTGGTAACGGCTGTGACTGTGAAACTGGGTGACACGGGATCGAACCCGTCAGGGAGCACCCGTTCCCTAAAGATTACAGGTACACCTTGCTGAGGAGTGCCAAGTAGCAAGAAAACCTAAGTCCGGTGTTTCCTATTGACTACCTCTAACCACAGTCTTATTTCAATTTATTAGTTCCATAATTAAAGAGAAATGCCATAGGGATTTGTGTTGTCTGCAGATACAATAAAGAAATAAATATGTGTAGTCGGACCGAATTAAAGTTCTATTTCTTATGCGTAGATGTTTTATTTTATTTTTATTTTGTTGGCCAACCTTTTTGTTTACGTTCGCCTTACTTTCGTCAATTTTTGTACTGAATGTCAACTAAACCCTTGGTTTCGATGCATCATAAGTTGGTTTTGTTGTAGTTATAGATAAACGCTTTAAGTTATGGGATACTATAGTGGTTTCGAAAAGTTAATGAGGGAATGCATTATATTCAGGGTTGTAACAATGTAATGCTTAAAGTCACTATAATCATTGCTCCACAATATTAAGAATATCAAAGTGAATGATATCACTTTAAATTCGATGTGAGCGTTAACGATATATGCAGATTATTATTAATAATAAACTTAATTTTGTGATCACATATAATACACTTTAAATGTTCTTATTTTAAAATGCTGAATCCTTTAATTTCGTATTACTTAGAAAGATTGATAGTGCGTGTGAATGCGAATTGAATAATGCATCACTAAATCATCGATCAAGCGGAAATATTAAAATACTTGTGAGCCAAAAATCTCTCCAATTGCCCTCCATAGTAGTTTCTTCTTCGTTGAGTAGATATTGTAAGGTTTGGAACTTGTTGTTGAAAGTTATCTCGAATTGGTTGAATTTGTCAGTATCTCGAAGGAAGGTTGTATTGAATTTTTGTACTGCTGTTTTTCAGTCATCCAGTCCCTCTTTAGCTTCAGTTTCATCTTGGCCACCACCGGGTGGTGACCTAAAGTTATGTCAGCTCCTCTCATTATTCTCACGTCTTCCATGGTTCTTCTAAATATTTTGTCGACTTAAATGTGACCGATGTTGTTCTCTGTAGTGTAATCCGGTGAGACACATGTAGCTTTGTATATGCGTTTGTGGGAAAATATATTTCCACCCATAACCATTTAGTCGAATTTACATCAATTTGAAAATCCCTAACAATTCTCGTTCCTTTCTCCCAGTCAGTTCATTTTGTCCCATGATATCTTCACACCTGGTGTTGTCCATTCTGACTTTTGTGCTTAGGTCTCTCATCAGGATGGTCAACTTTCCTGGGAACTTCTGCATGATCGATTGGAGCCTCTCATAGAACTGATCTTTATCGTTTTTGTTGCTTTCATTAGTGGGTTCATAGCGCTGGATAAAATTCATTGTAATATTCTCCTTCTTTGTTTTGAAGGATGCTTTGCTAACCCTGGATCCACGAGATTGCTATCTTGTAAGTGCTCTTTGTGCCTCTTTGGAGATGATAAGTACAACTCTTTGTGTGTGCAAAGCATTGTTTTCTTCATTATCAGAGCGTGACACCACCTCTCTCGAAGCTAATCTCTTTTGCCCAGCCTGGGTTCGATTAGTAGCACTTATTAAGAGCACCGCCATTTTGTATCTCCTTATTTTCTCAGCTATTTGACGGGTCCTTCCGGTCTCCCACATTGTTTGGACATTTTATGTGTCTATATTAATTGTTGCTCTGGTTGTTATAAGGGGAATCGACCTCGTGACTTCGGAGGAACTTGGCTTTCACCATGAGGTGTCATTGACTCTTCTGAATGAAGACCCTTCAACTCAGTGCGCATAGTTTGAATACTGTGGATGATTTGTTTGCGATAAGCCGTTTTTTAACAGTTGTTTTCTATAGGATGGGGTTGCTTATCACATGCTCAACACTCTTCCTTTACTCGGGGTTGGGACCAGATGTAACCCTCGAGAGGCTACTGACATTGTTAATGAATTTTCTTCAATTTGTGTTTAGGCCTACATATTAGAGAGAATGTTGATCCGCAACCTTTTCGAAATTCAATTGCTGTGGTTGATTTCCAATCACTTGTTGTTTTATCACTATCTTGGCTTTGAATAAATGCTTGTGAATACTGTTGCTGTATGCTGCGAGGCTGGTTCATATGAAACTCGTCGAGTGGTGGTAACCTTTCTTTTTGAGTTTCGGAATGAACTTGCTATATCAAAACCAAGTATTTTACAAACGAGCCAATTAAGTTATTTAATGCTTCATAAGTTCGTAGGTTGTATATTCACCTATTTTTTGGTCTGAAGGCAATGTCCTTAGTCAGTTAATAAAGTCGAGTGTTCTATTCAATTAAGGCTACTCTGTGAAAATGTGGTTGTAACTGTTTATTTCCAATTAGTCTCGCACCTATTACTGGTTTAGTTTAAAAAGAATATCTGTGTTTAAACAGGGACACTTCTTCTGGCTTGGACATGTTTCACTCTGCTAAACTTAGGAAAGCGGCTCCAATTTTGGAAAAACTTCCAAATGTGATATTCTCAGCTTTGCTTAGCCATTTCATTGAGTCTGACAGTTAGAAGATGGGGCGTGTCACATCTATTTTCAAAGGAGGCTGGTGTTACGTCCAAGTTTTGCTCGTTCCAATTATTGAAGTACGGACTATCGATCTACTTGCAAATTACGAACCCAAATTAACAACAGAACCAAGTCCCAATTTAGATACCAAATTTATTCGTAGTTCACAAGTAATCGACCAAATGTCGTTCTAACAACAATAATTATAACAATTACAAAACAAACCTTCAATTTTGTAGGTTCCCGGAGCAAAACTCCCAAATACCAAACCAAAGACAAAGAGGGCACCAAAATACCAAACCAAAATGTCCGAAATAATGATATGAACAAACAATGTCAAAAGTTAAGTAAAACAATTACATCCAAAAACACAGTAAATTATTAATGTACAATAAAAGGTTTTAATCCGCCAAATGTCTTCAGTTCTCCCGTAACAGCTGGTGCATTGATCCTTCAAGTTACCAGCTGGAAACTTTTCAATGCTCTCAAAAGTTTTCTGTCCCTGGTGCGCGATGGTCCACGTCACTACTTGTGATCTATAAACTTTTTTTACCCCAATAACAAAACGTCATTAACAGCCACTCCCATATACCAACCTGCTGTCCGCGATCTGCAAGTGGGCAGCCATACTGGATTCCAAAAGGAAGATTGATGTCATAAAATTTGACATATTGATAAGGCCAATCATATGTCTTATCAATAAGCTCAAACTGTTGGGCATCGAATCACTGTTCATATATTGTTTTACTTCATAACTAAAGAATCGACATTTTAAGTTAAGGGTAAACTTTAAATTTTCTGAGGCTATGGAATTTCCTGGTGGGTACGCCAGTGTTCACTACTGAGACTTCTTTTCTGATTTATATAAGCTAACTTCCCCAGCAAGTATCGTTTGAGTTACTGCTTTGTGCTGACTATATTAAACGTTGAAAAGAGATATGTGACTGGGACAGAAAGCTGGCACTTCAGGAAGATCTAACCCGACTTCATAGTACAGCGAACAACAATGGAATTATTTTCAACGCCTCAAAATTGGAAGTAGTCCATCTGGGACAAGTCAAAAACTACTCGTATAATCTTATTCTTGATGTGCTCCAAGTTGACGAAAATCTACAATCATATGTATCGTATGATTTGAAGCCTTACACTAGCTGCTACAAAAATGCCGTCCACAAAATCCTTGCACTGATAACACTGAAGGTCACTTTTAGCTACGTAATCTTTCCAAGTATGGAAACATCGGGTTTTCTCCCTTACTCCAAAAAGATGAATATATGGGGACGTTTCTTATGGCATGGGTAATCTATTCGAATATTTTAAAGTGTGGCTCAAATCACATTTTCGATTAAAGTACAGACGCCTCAGATGTGATCTGATCGCATTCGAAAAATTCATGGGCACTTCCTTGAATACTTAATTAGTTAAGCGCAGTTCCAACTAAAGCTTTACGGACAATACCAGAAAATTAAGGTATAGCAGAGCAGGAGAGACTAAAATAAAATTTTTTATCAATCAGTTTTAGAACTCTGTGCCGTCTGATGTAGTGAAGGTGGGTTCTCAACAGTTCATCGAGAAGTAGCTCTACATAATCTCCAGGACTCAGGACAGAATTTATTATTTCTCTTATTACCGTTGAATGTTACTAGTCTACTGCCTGGGAGTATTGGTGATTCACTGATAATAGATCCGGAAGCCCGTTAAGAGAGAGCTACTTTTCTTCCATCAATGACAATTTGTAACATGTGTTAAGAATTTGTTTTAGTCACCTGGTGGCGCTCGTTTCGGTACTAGTAGAACGTGATTGGCGTTAACTGTATGTACACCGTCTAATAATCATAATCTTGATTGTTCTCTTGGTTTTTTCCTATTGCAGAAACATGTTGGCCACGGAAATGGATTTGGATAGTGCTGTGCAGCAAGTTCTTAAAAATGCTGCGAAGTGCCGTGGAATATGTCGTGGATTAAATGAGTGCACGAAATTGATTGAACAACGAGGTGTTGTTCTTTGTTTCCTGGCAGAAAATTGCAATGAAAAAGCTTACACAACTCTGATCGAAGCACTATGCCATGAACATGGCATCCCTCTTGTGAAGGTATGATAACTTAATATAAATATAAGGCTGCAGGTCCCTGATAATAAAAAGCTTGGCGAGTGGTCCGGATTGTGTAAGTATGACAAAGAAGGAAAGGCTAGAAAAGTCGTGTCAGCCTCATGCATTGTGGTAACTGATATTGGAGAAGAATCTTATGGACTGAAATACTTAGTTGAAAAATTCAGACTACCCATCCAAACACGAGAGGCCTAATGTACATGTTTCTGATAATGAACATATAAAACGTCTCCGAAAATTTTTCGCCTCGTAATATTTTTGTCTGAAAAGGGTATTGTGGTGAATCTCAATCTCTTTGAACCAGTTTTGTTATTGCAATTGCTAGTACTCTGAAGTCACGAGTTTGCAAATGTACTGATTCAAACTCCGATTGATTGTGTTAGGCTACTGCAATGTCCGATAATTAAGGCTTCATGCCTTCTGGAATTCATCCTTTAGCGACCCTCATCCTTCAGCCGTAATCTAGTTTTGTGGAATCCACCTAAATACCTTATATAAACAAAAATATCCACTTCTGGAGTAGTAGTCGATGATACTTTTCGAGGTTCTGTATTCATCTGGCAAATAAACAATTTAACCGGTAAAAACCGAAGAATGAAGCGTTCTCTGACTCAAATATGTTTCTAACTGTTAGTCGTTTCTGTTATTTATTGAATTGCTTTATCGATAGGTTATTTTTCTTAATCTTTTAGTGGTTAATCTTTGCGCATATCTACGTATTTTCATTGTATCATGATAACCTGAGACGAGGCACTTATGTGTGCCGTTCCGACCTCAAACTGTTTCATTCAAAAAATAATTTGATATATAGGTGGCATAAACATTTAATTCGAGATTATGTATGGGCGTGAAAGTTTGGGGTTGACTTGGCTGGGCTGACTGGTCGACCATGTACGTAAATTCAAATGTAAAGAAAATTTCCCCATTTACATATGCAGATAAATTGATCCGCTTAAATATGCCACATTCTAAATAGTATAAGAAAGTTATATTTGATATGTACTCTCTTGCTTATAGTCAGTTTTACTGCTCGTTTCCTTCTGTTTTGCATTAATCGTGGTTTAATTGAATTCTAGACTGCTTTAAAAAATCTTCCTGTAGTGTCAGTCATTATGTTAAGCCTATATGCTTTATTCTAACTTTCGGACAGTCCAATCTATTTGTTCTACTTGAGTCATATTTTGACCCTGTTAGTTATTCGCTTATCAGTCTTGACTGTTTTTATATGAGCGTATATGTGTGTACACTTCATATCCCCATGTCTCATCACATGTCTAGTTTATTTTGTCTGCCTATGAATATTGAGTAACGCCTGGCTAAAAATGAGTTGGCTTACCAGCCATCTCCCCTGCGCGTCATTTTGCTTTGTTCTATTACATTCACTTTACATACAAAATATATGTATTCAAAGGCCATTCTCGTTAATTGACTTATCTAAATTCCGTTATTGACTAGCGTGATTTAAGTCGATGATTGTATACGAGGATAGGTGATAACAAACATTCGTACGATCTACATGGAGTCAGATCCACGGACCACTAAATCCCTACCGAGTCAGTCGTTATCAGTCAAAGGAAGTAGTGCCTGTTACAAATCTACGTTGACCGAAGTTACCACATGACGCTATTAAAATAAAGATGAATAGTTATGGAGTCGAAATAGTACATTAGAAGGGTAAAATGAAAGAAGCACTAAAAATTTGATTAGAAAGGTGGGATGGAAAATTGGGATTCGATATCGAGTGCGGATCTATCTATGTCCAATTCTGACGCATGACTTATTGTCTCTCTCCGCTGACCATAAATATCGTGCAGTCTGGAACCACATGGTCTAAATTTAACATGAGTCAGAGACTACATGCACTGATACTACGTATTGTTTAACCTACTGCCATCTTTTTTCCAGCTACACTACACCTCACCGATCTAGGCATACGTAAGTTCCCTATTGCCTCAGTTGATAAAGGTTTGTACCGAGATTTTTTCAGACTTTACCTGTCAAAACCAATAGCTGAAGTTCTCGATGCATTTAACTTTTCTTGTGATTCAGATCAGCTCTAAAGCAACTAATATGTCCCAAGCATATTTTTATTTTTAGCATAAGCGATCACAAGACTGCACTATCGGCTTTTTAGGTAAAATCTAACTATGTTTTAGCATCGTCACTCATACGCCCTCATCTAATTAGGTACTTAGTACCAATATGAAATTTGACAGGAACTATCATATCCATTAGCTAACAGTCTCGATACAATGAAGTAAGTTTTACGATTACTAAAGTCCCCTTAACATTTCCTAGTTTCCTGGACTGTATACCTTTCAGTACATACGTAAGTCAAAATTTATAGCAACGAAAGAAACCCATTACGCCATCAAACGAAATGCGAACAGCTAAGCAAAGAAAACTTTATTTGCAACTATCATTGACTTGGGCTGTGATATGTAGCTAGTTCTGCATGTAGTAAACCATTACAAAGTGAGGGTTTGTTGCACAAGTGTTTGATCCAAACTTCCTGTTGGATGTGCAAACATTACTAGATGATGATTTCCGTGACAGCGCGTGACTATATGATCAGTACTTGAAAGTTGATAATATTTGACAATTTTTTTAGTAATACGATGCTCCCCGTTTCACTCTAGACCACCATATGTAGAACTAAATATACTGTTGTACAACTTAAATTACATCGGTGTGAAGAAAAGTTTGTGTTGGATTGGTCTTCATTTTGTTTATGAACTCATCAGTTCAGTTCTTACAGATAGTCAATTGCAGTTTGAGTATCTCAATGGCAATGCCTTTAATTTTATCGAGTAGCATCTTTATTCTTATGATTGCAGATACAACTTGTCGAAAGGTTATCAACAAGCACAAGACCTAGGTCTAAGGTTTTATCTTTATCCTTTCCAATTATCGATTAAAATTTTAATGGGTAGTTGATTTAAGCTTAAGCAGAATATGCTATAGTCTAAAGTGTTGGTCGAATCGGGTTACAAACAAAGAAATTGATAAGTATTAATTACTTTGTCTTTTACTTGATCCGTTACTTACGCCTGTTACTCCTCGTGAAGGAGCATAGGCCGCTCACCAGCATTCTCCATCCAACCCTGTCCTGGGCAATCCTTTTCAGCTCTTTCCAGTTCTTATTGATCCTTTTCATATCTGCTTCTATTTCCCGACGTAATGTGTTCTTTGGCCTTCCTCTTTTCCGCTTCCCTTCAGGATTCCAAGTTAGGGCTTGCCTCGTGATGCAGTTTGACGATTCGCGTAATGTATGTCTTATCCATTTCTATCGTCTTTTCTTAATTTCTTCAGCTGGAAGTTGGTTTGTTCTCTCTCACAGAAGGCTATTGCTGATGGTATCCGGCCAATGGATGTTGAGTATCTTGCGTAGACAGCTATTTATAAATACTTGTACTTTCTTGATTGTGGTTGTTGTAGTTCTCCAAGTTTCAGCTCCGTACAGTAGAACTGCCTTGACGTTCGTATTGAAGATTCTCACATTGATATTGGTTGAAAGTTGTTTTGAGTTCCATATGTTCTTCAATTGTAGGAATGTGACCCTTGCTTTGCCAATCCTCGCCTTTACATCTGCATCTGAACCTCCTTGTCCATCGACTATGCTTCCTAGGTATGTGAAGGACTCTACATCTTCCAGAGTTTCGCCATCGAGAGTGATTGGATTGCTGTTCTCCGCTTTGAATTTGAGGACCTTGCTTTTCCTTTTGTGTATACTGAGGCCTACTGATTCAGAGACTGCTGCTACACTGGCTGTTTTCATCTGCATCTGTGCGCGTATACGCGATAGGAGGGCTAGGTCATCTGCGAAGTCCAAATCGTCTAATTGATTCTGAGCTGTCCATTGTATTCCGTGTTTTCCTTCAGATGTCGAGGTCTTCATAATGCAGTCGACCACCAGAAGAAAGAGGAAGGGAGAGAGTAAACAGCCTTGTCTGACTCCGGTCCTTACTTGGAATGCATCTGTCAGCTGTCCTCCATGCACGACCTTGCACTGTAGTCCGTCGTATGAGTTCCGGATAATATTGACAATCTCAGGAACTTGATCCATAATATAAGCGAAATACTCGTTTGGATTCCGTCGCTTGCTTCGCTTTCAATCAATGCCTGTTTATCAACCCGTAAATTCTGAATCGATGAATGAATGTATGAGTAATCTCTGGATCACAATGATACTGAACATGCACTAATATTCAGACTTCATTCATAGGTAGTCAACTCCATCTATAATTACTGAATCATAGTTACACCAACGATTTTAATCCCTTTAGCATTCATTTTAGAGCATAAAGTTATTTTTATGAAGTAGATAAGTAAGAACCAGTCTTTATTTAAGTGATTTGATACATTCATTTTGAAGGATATTAACTGTTAATAAGTTGGAAAACATTTACTGTAAAAATGTGAAGTTCATTTTCGACTGAGTATGGTATTTTATGAACTTGGCTAGTATTTATATCTGACGAGTTGTTCAAAGTATGATTTTATTATTAAATTTTATTTCGTGCAACATGGATGCTTTATGATTGAGATCATGAACCGATTAATGCTAGACCACGTTGGAAACCTGGGAGCAATGGACGGCCATTTCGTCCTATCGTTTGACTCCTCAGTAGTGCGATCTACGATCCCGCTCGCGGGATTCGAACCCAGGGCCTTCAGTCTCGCACGCGGACGCCTAACCTACTGGACCACTGAGTCGGCATCCAATGGTGTTAGTGTCTAACATCAACCAATCCAAGAAATTGCGCGACCATCTTCCATTATACTGAGGTGGATACCTGTCTCTATCCGGCACGGGTTAGCTCCACTGGTCACAGCTCCTCACTGGATGCTTTAAACAGATAGAAACTTTCCAAAATAACAATAAGATTATACGTTAAAGAGGGAATTATATTTGTGAAAGTTTCGTTGATTATAATTAAAACAACGTTTCGTTCGGTGTGCTGGTCCTAGAAACATCAGGAGTGATGATTAGACAATTTTCATCAAGTGAGTACTCAGTTACTGTAAAACTATCCGTTTATATTCAGAAGAAAGTTGTAAGATAATACGATTAAACTACACGAAATTCAAGACACATGTTTCCCTCAATGCCACATAATATTTTAACATTACATGGGATAGATTCAAATATTCTAATTCGGATGAAAGTTCATTTTTATCACAATTTTAAAAGAACGTTAACTCACGTATCATTTTAAGATCATAAGGTAATTAAGTATGAGTATGAATAGCACTACAAAATAGTATTGGATCTGTGATATGGTTTATTGGTTTAATAATCGTTTCGAGTTTGTCCCATGATATGAAGATGAAATATTTTTTAATCAGACTTAAGTCAACAAGAAAAAATAATTTGAAACATTCCAATTACAAATTAAATCTCATCAACATCAGTAAAAACATATATAGCTGTAGACGAGCCATTAAGTGGATTATAAGTTGAAGATAAACGACACACAGGTAAACATTTAATGTATTTCTTGTTAATATAATCTAGTAATTTTACTGAGAATTTAGTAATTTGCTGCATCATCAAACTACTTAACCATAATATCCAACCATCAAATAAACTTATTTGACCACATGTTAGAGAATGAGAAAAAGTATAACATGAACCAAATGGCTCTGTTAATCTGCACGCTTTAGAAAAGATTGTTGTTTCAGGGCGTGAATAACCAAGACAAGTGTGATATAATTCATATCGAGATAAATAACTAATCCAATTTGAAATAAAAGCTAACCAACAGAAGATTGAAATTCCGGGAAATCTGCCTCGTTGTTCGGTTGTAAAAATTGTACTTGAAAGCCAAGGTGATAACCATTCAGAGACGTATATCCATTTCTCATTTTGAGGTTCGTTATGATCATAGATAATACGAAGAGCTATCGGTGAAAATGGTGATAAGGCCTGAAGGGAATAACAGATAATATTTGTAACTATTTTCAGATTAATTATTTATGAGACAACACAAGTATTAATTCATGCAAAAATATCCTACCATGCTCTTAAATTCTTTCAATCTTAATTCTCACATAAAACGTTAACATGAAAATACTCCATATTTGTTCTACAATTTACACCAGCAATTTCATGTTTATCACTGTCAAACTAGTACCCACAATTCTCAAAATAAAAAATCTGAAATGAGCTGTGAAGGTCTTCTTGTTCACAGTAGGTTGATTTAAGAAATAAATATAAATCAGATAATTTTTTTTCTTCCCATAAATAGTTTGAATGAAATTCTCGATAAAAGATTAGTCCAGTGGGTAAGGAAACAAACTTCAACTAGAAACTTGGAATATTGGTAACTACGAGCTATAGTGATCGGTTTACATTGAGAATCATAAACGCATGGGTGAAAAAGTATGTTAGAACACGATAAAAATGTTTAATAAAAGCAAGATTATTAAACTTCAAAAGTACTTTCCCACAAACAGATGGAATTTGAGGTTTCAAATTTCCAGTTATCTAGATGTGATCGACAACTGGGCATGCTACTAAATTTCTTATGTAAGTACGCTAATGGTTCCCTTCAAAGAGCATGATATGAAGTAGTTGAAAATATATGTATTTCCTTTTATCAAACAGTTGACATCATAACTTTATGACAATTGGCAATTATATATCAATACAGTTGGTTATTTCTGTAAACAACTTGTGTAACAGTATGTAAGAAAGTAGGCAAAATGACCATATCTCCCTTTATAAGAAGGGGTGATGAACAAAAACTCTTTGTACAACAAAACATGGATTCAAGTACTTTGACCTGACAAAAACTAATTTCATCTTCAGATGAAAAATCAGATAAATTATTTTCTGAAAATCATATGTTTATTTGTCTTGTGAAAGTATCCAGGTGATTTTGTATCTACATATCTCTGTGTATACATGTAAATGTTAACTTATATTTTCAACCAGAATTTCTTTTCTTATAATCCAAAACAAAAGATTAAGCGCAAGGTATAATCTTAAAACCTGATTATTAGAATGGTTATGTTTCTACAATCTTCATTGTCAAGCTTTATGAACGAAAAATGCTAAGCATTTGCAACTTTGGATGTATCGGCAAGAGATTTGAAATAAAGAAACTGACTCTTTTATTCTTTGGTTTATTAGTAATCAAGATTGATCAAACAAATGCAACCTTTTTTATTTATTTCTATTTTTAAGCCTCCTTTTCTTACATACAATCTGTTGTCATATCTTTTATCATTTAAAAACAACAGTAGGTTTATGTATCTACTATAATTTAAAAATTATAGTTCATTGTATTTTGTTATTTTCCTTTTTGATAACGACACAAATCATGAATTGGTATACTAAAAGATGATTACGATCACCAGTTCGTTGTTGTACTTGGTCTGTCAGTTAGTTTAGTTTATCAAAATTTGTTGAAGTAGATAAATTGGTGTAAGTAGCATGGGAGAGGTGACAGAACGATTTATTTTAATAGAAGGCACATTATATTCTGTTTTATGAGGAGCTGAGAATTTTGAATGTGGTCATAAAATAAACAACATGATTGTATTGTACTGTCCAATTTTAGCGATTAGGTTGGCTAATAGTTTAGCTAAAATCCTATCTGACAAGTCACAATCACTGATTGTCCCAATATACAAGAAAGGGTCAAAATCATCCTGTGCTAACCATAGAGGGGTTAGTTTGACTATCATAGCATGTAAAATACTAGCCTCGTTAATTATCGGCCGCCTAACTAAAACTCGTGAACTGCAAACACGAGAAAATCAGGCTGGCTTCAAAACTGGTCGTAGTTGCAGCCACCACATATTCACCATTTGTCAGGTTCCAGAACACAGGCATGCTTGTCGGGGTCCGACAATAGTGGTCTTTCATGACTTAAAAGCATTTGACTCTGTAGACTAAGAGGTTCTGTGGCAATGTCTGTCATCGAAAGGCGTACCTCAGAAGTACATAAACCCAGTGAGGGCTCTTTACTCGAACACTACCAGTCGAGTCATAGTCTATGGCGAAACGTCATCTGATTTCGCAACCTCAAGTGGTGTCCACCAAGGCTGTCCACTATCTTCATTCATCATTGACATTGTGATGGAAATAACGCTCTCGTCAACTGAATTTTCGAGCATTAATCTTCTTCCAGGAAGTACACTTATCGACTTAGAATACGCGCATGACATAGACCTGTTTGGTGAAGACGCTGATAAAATGCAGTCTTCTGGTAGCACTGAGCAACAATACCAGGATGTTTGGGATGCATTTCTCCCAATGTAAATGCAAATTCTCGTTTCAGGACTGGACTGTGTCAACACCTGAACTAAGGATGGGGAGTGAAGTAGTCGAACGTGTCGACAACTTCAGTTATCTTGGAAGTCTGGCCAGCCTTGATGGGTTGATGTCTGACGAAATCTGTGCACGGATTCGAAAATCTCGTTTGGCCTTTGCCAACTGACGTCACCTACAGAGGGGGTGAGATATCCATCAATCAATTAAGGGATGAGTATACTGCGCAGCAGTTCGTCCTGTTCTACTTTATGGCTGCGAAACGTGTCCATTAAGAGTACAAGATACTCGTAAGCTACTAGTATTTGATCACAGATGTCTTAGAAATATTGCTCGCATCTGCTAGAATCACCGGGTAAATAATAGTGAGGTTAGACGAAGAGTATTTGGGAATGATTGTGAATCATTTGATAAGGTTGTGAACATTCATCGATTAAGATGGTTGGATCACGTGTTACGCATACCTGAACACCAATTACCACGACGCGCAATGCTGATCAGTGTTGGGGATGGTTGGAAGAAAGTTAATGGCGGCCAAACCAAAACGTGGCATCAGTGCTTGAAGTCACTAACTTCTAGTCTTAGCTATATTGGTAGATGCAGACTACTTGGTTGAGGTCCGCGTGATTATCGTAACCAATAGTTGGAGACTCTTGGTGACATGGCTCAGAATCTATCACAATCGCGTCGGTGTATACACTCTTTGTCTTCCCTTAAACTAAGAGATTAAAATCTCTTCATATTTTTCTTTCTACGAACTAACTTTTTCTCCCTGTACTATGTCCTTATCTGCAACCTTTCTCTTATATATTACCACCACTGAATTAACTACTATGAATTTGATGTTGATCTTGTTGTGCTGATGAGGTGTGACAACTTGGATCAAAGCACATATGTGCCTGGTCCTACGTTGTAAGTGACTGATTGTACTGTACACAGGGATCCATTTATTTTTATTCTCGGACATAAAACCTTGTTAATGAAAGAAGGTATTCATCAAGAACGGACATGAAATTTCTGAAAGAAACAGTGATTTTAAAATTCCGAGTCTGTTACAAATCACAACCTATATACTCTAAATAATGAATTTCACTCATATATCAGTATATGAGATCTAATATAAACTTTTTTTGCATGATAAACACGCTTCTCTCAAAAACAATCATAAAACACTTGCAATTAGACGCTTTTTATACAATTTCTAAAAGATAATAAAACTTTGCAAATCAATGGACTATTGCATATATCGTTTATTTTCTTAAAATGTTTCATGAGAATATTTATACAACATAACTTTAGCTGAATAGTAGGTTTCGCCTACTAAAACGGAGGAGATAATAAATTATTTTCGAAATGCGAATTATGTCATTTCGATTTAAAGGTTTTCCTAAGAAACTCTATCAATATTAATATAAACAATTCAAGTTTTAATGGATAAACTCTTCAACTAATTTCTGTATCAACCTTATCAATGGTATTTCTATTAGTACACAAATCTAACTACATTCTTTACAAACACTGAATTTTTGCTCATAAGTCTATCGTGTAGTGTTGGCTATCACTTACTAAGTGAACATTCTTTGTTAACAGCTTAAATCTATCGTTTGTTGAACATACGGGATGAGTTTCCTAAAATTGTGGGGCGCATTATTCATAAGCAAAGTGTCTTTATGTATACATCTATTATTAAAATAAACCATTCATTTTTTCAAGCTGTTCGATAAATGTTAGTAATATACATAGTCGATCACATTTCTATTACTTTTGAATAAAATCTGAAGAATCAAACTATAATGAGCACTACGAGCGCTACGTAACTTTGTATGAAGAACTCTGTTAAGATCTTCGAAAATTGGTGGTTTGAATATTTTAAAGTAATAACTTTCTTTTCAACATATCATCAGATTGCTTATTAAAAAACCACTAATTTTGAAACATGCAAACTTCGGATTACTTGCTTATATAATAAATAACATAAGTCTCGTAGAATAACGTTAGTTTGGCTACCTAGAAAAGTGACAACAATTCTCTGCGTTTTGTTTATTAGCTGAAAGTGAATTCTGTTAAGTGTGTATGTGCCGCTCAAGAAGTAGTTTGGAATTTAACTGACCAGAATGTTGAAATATGTACATATAATTAAACAACTGGGCCATATTTGGGAAGCTCTAATATGGAACTAATGGTAGGCGTTTTAAACTCCCAGACTTTTTCAGTTATTTTTTAGATTAGCATTAACAGTTCAATATTAGTTAAATTTTGTTCTCATGTACAGATCTGTACATCTATTTTTAAACGTCTGTTTCAACAGTAAATCTTCTTGGTTTCAATACCCTGGTCTATCCAAATCTGAAGTTCAAACTTGATAGTTTACTCACAAAACCCATTCCGAAATTCCAGTTCTTCGAATTCAGAACTACTAGGAAAAGTGATGGAATATATAATAAAAATAATTAAAGCTGTTAATCATAAACAAAATATTTGACTGAGATTATATAGCTTATTAAATTGTCAGATGAGAAATAACTGATCATGGATGAGAATAAATACCACAAATCAATCAACATTTTTTTGTTTCTATTCATTTCAGCATATAGATATTGAACAGAAGTAACATCTGTGCTACCATGAATTAGCCTGTATTCAAACCTCAAAACTAAGTTTTCGAAAAGTGGAATCTTATTTACCATTATGTCGTGCAACTAAATACTCATTGATAGTTTTCACCTGTACAAATATACCTCTAGGTATCTTTTTTCAATCATCGACAAAAATATAGACTAATTATCATGCCAATAAGCAGACTGCCATTCTGACTACCGTTTTAAGTTTTCTAAATGCTGACATTCGTTAAATCAATTTTTGTTGCACAAAATATAAGCGACTTTGAAGATATATTTTACATTAAACCAGTCTAAATTCAGAATACGGTAATTTAGATCTTCGTAAGTTCCATCGTTTCTGTTGAAAGAAGTGTTAGTTTATTCAGTTTCATTTAAATCTTAATTGTGAACTAACAGATTTCTGAGCAAAATCTTTTCAAATGCACTTTTATATTCATTTCTAATGGCTATTTTCATTTAATCCTCATTTAGTACAACAAATAATTTAATTAACACTTATTTTGACTGTTTTCCAAGATTTCACGTTTTAAATAATCAAAAGATATTTCTCTAAGGATTACTTCGTAATCAGTATTGTGTTTTCTAAACATTCAAAAACAAGTGACCCTATTCTGATCATCAAGATCTTATGTTGAAAAGTCAAAATTACTCTGAATTTGATTATAATTATTGAGATCAAGAATGTACCATACAGGGTAGACGTATCGCTTTACTGTATTTTAGTTGGTTTAAGCTTCGTTTTTCATTGATTTCATTCGCGATACCCTACATTCTCTGTAACACACAAAACATTTTTGTCAATCTAAGCCAAATCTAATTTTTATGAATGTAAACAATTTTATTAGTGATATTTTGTTACTATAATGGAAGGAGAACCTATTATAACATACCAAGGGGTCAATGATAAATATTTGACTTGAATGAGCCCATTTACCACTCAGTATGTAACGATTTATATCGTCAAACAGTTGTTTAGTTGAAGCACGACGAAATGGCACTGCCCAATTAGGTTTTAAGAAATTTTCAGTTAACATTCTACCTGGAACAAGAAAAGAAGGCCATCTTGTTGTATAAAACATCCATTTCATTGAATTACAATCATGTAAATACATTGTCTGAACGTTCGTCATTCTTTGATCCATTAATGAAATAGTTGAATCATTACAGTTACTGAAATGTCCAAATTTTTCATTGATGTTATTTTGTGTTTTTATCGAATATTCATTCATATAACTGACTTGTTGTGAAATAGATTTTTGGTTTAAATGTGTAATAAAAATGTCAGGTAATCCAATATTTAAATGACCATAGTATTTTTGTTCACAGTGACTATTCCATGCATAATTACATGTTTCCATAAAATAATAAGTTACGTTCATTGGTTTATTTATATTTGTCCATATGATTGTTATTTCTTTCAAATTTATTGTAGACGAATGATGAACATAGTTAAGAACATTTAAATTGTTGTTTTCGATTTTTTTCATTGTCCTTAACTCTTCGTTTATATTTAAGTATGATTGTACTGTTTGACTTTCTTCCTGTAATGTCGATACTGATGATAAATTGGAAGAGATAAATGGAGATGACATGAGTGGGTCTATTTCATTGTTGTGACCGATTAGTTCTATATTCTGTACAAATGTAAAATGAAATAATGTTTTTTAATTAAGCAGATTTCTGAAGTGGTTACTGATAATAAAAAAAACATTTCAAACATATGTTAAATAATGTAATTTTTTGATTGAATTGTGATAAATTAGCTTTGAGTATAAAGACCATAAAAGTTTTAAGTGAATTTATGAAAAACAGGAAGAAAGATTTTAATAATTTCAATAGTTGAAATCAGGAGTCAGTTAAAGCTAGACCAGCATGGAAAACCTGGAAGCACTGGACGGCCATTTCGTCCTATTTTGGGACTGGCTTCAAGAGGTATATCCTGGAGTTCTAGTGAGAAGTAGTGACCCGTGGAGTTCAACCAGGTCTGTTGTGAAATAGTAACTCACTGAAGACAATGGTGGATGTGTCGCTGAATTTCGTGGATTATTTGAAGTCAGACATTTACACCGTTGGATGCCGGCTCAGTGGTCTAGTGGTTAAGTGCTCGTACACGAAACCAGTAGGTCCTGGGTTGGAATCTCGCGGGGGGCGAGGTCGTGGATGAGCACTGATGAAGAGTCACACAGTAGGACGAAACGGCCGTCCAGTGCTTCCACGTTTTCCATGGTGTTCTAGCTTCAATTGACTCATGACTTAAACTATTGAAATTACTATAATATCTACAAATCCCGTTTGATATTAAAAATCTAGTAATTTATAACTTCGGTTATACATCACGGTTGAATGAATACCCTACAATAACAAATAAATGAATGTAACAGTGGTACTGAGTTAGACATGAGGAAGAAATCGATGTATAAATCACAATTTCATTGAAAATGTTCATCATTATAACCAATTTTAAATTACTTCAAGGCTAAAGTATTCACTGTTAGTCTTTCATAAAAAGGTTTGTTTTTTTCTAATTGATTTATCCCTTAAGGGATATTGGTGTGAACTGAGAAAATAAAATGATACAATTATTTAGAATTTCTGTCCTTTCAACTGTTTGTTCTACATAATAATTAAATGAATTTATAGGTCAACTTTATTCATTTAAATTATCTTCATATTAAAATTCGAAATGATAATTTAATGAGAATAAATAGCTGATCACAATCAAACACGATTATACTGTGATTAAATTATACTTGGGAATTATATAGTTACTAATCCTTAGCTAGTTTACTAGTAAAGCCCATAAAATTTTGATCGATAAAGATAACGAAAGAATAAACTATTGTTTTATATGTTTCTACTTTTCTTTTTATATGAACAAGTGATGTGAAAGTATCTCTTTTACTGCCAATCATTTTAATCAATGAATTCTGTGGGATAAATAATGTGTAGAATTTACTCTGAATTTTTTCTGATTAAGAACATCAGTAAACATTTGTAACAACGTCATATGAACTATACTTGGATGATGATAAAAGATAAGTTCTCTCAGTGTACAGTATCACTGGGGTTTTCATAGGTACTTGTTACTTAAGCAGATGGCGTTAGTCTACTTCCTATAGATGAATCATTATGCCAGACATATATCCTTGACAAGAATGATTGAAATATTTTGTCTAAAATGGTACTTATTCAGTGTCTATTTGTGTTTTGTAATAATGATAGATTGAGCTAACCTCGAAAGAACCAAACTCAAACGAGCGATTGATGAAATGACGTATTATTCGAGATATGTTGATGATACCTTCATCGTATGTAATAATAAACAACATGCAATAAATCTGCTAGAGTTTTTCAACGAAGCACATCCGAATATCCATTTCACTATGGAACATGAAAAAGAAAACAAGTTCCATTTTCTCGATATCGCGATGAAAAGAAGAAAAGATGGTACAGTTCAACGTTCAGTTTATAAGAAAGACACATGGAATGGTAGTTATCTTAATTTCAATAGCTTTTGTCCAATCAGTTACAAAAAGGCACTGGTCAAAACACTGTTTTACAGAACAGAAAGAATATGTACTTCCGATACACTAGAAGAGGAAGTTATGAATGTTAAAAAATGTTTAAAGAATAACGGATACCCGCTGAAATTTATTGAGAAATACGGCAAATGTGAAGTTAAAAAGCCGAAAGAAATTACAGCAAATAAAAAGCCTATTTTTATTAAACTTCAATTCAAAGGTGACGATGTCACAGGAGCAATCAATATGAGATTAAAAACTGCACTGACAAGAACTTATCCTGCAGCGAAATTGATTGTCCTGTCCAAAACAACATACTCTTTGACACAATCAAAGGTCGACAGGTATCCCTTTCATGTTACCACCAACTGTGTATACAAATTTACATGTACCTGCCAAAGCAGTTACATTGGTAGAACAGAATGGAGAGCCTACGTCCGATTCAAAGAACATATTCCGAAAAGTTTAAGGTTAAATGGATTGAACACATTCAACAGTGCTATCGCAAGACATCTCCTTGATACAGGACATAAAGCTGATATACTGAAGTCCTTCAAGGTGATTAACAAACAATCAAACTCGAACCTTTTGAAATTCGCTGAAGCGTTAGCAATCAAACGCTTAAAACCAGATCTATGTATACAAAAAGAGACAGTAATAAATCTTTCTTTACCCTGGTAACAATAACCCCCACTCTTTCTATTAATTTGCTCCTATTTATTTATTTATTACGTCATTATTGCAACTCTTTCTGAAATATAAATTACATCATACATAAATGATTGATTTCAATTCATATTTTCTTTATTACCATTAATCTATTTTCATGAGTTCTAATCACTAATTCAATGTTCCAGAACTTTCCCTCTCAAACTTTATTTATTTATTCGAATCAAACATTTTATGAGCTCATTAACTCTATCTGAATCTTCGCTACATCATCATACACATATATTGATCCTTAATCACACTCTTATGTATAAATATGTCAATATCTGTAATAATGTTGAATTTTCAAATAATTTAGGTTGTAAGCAGCTGATGAGAACCTAACGAAATAAAATGAATTCATATTATTCTGCATCAATCTTTGTTCTTGCTCTATTTAAGATCAGGCAGAGTTGGCCAAGACACAATTCATTATTTTTCCTCAGCTAGACATTAAAACTCTGGTAGGGTAGACCTAAGTACACTGACATCAATAATTGCTTGTACATTTAATTCATCATATGAATATTTTAACATATTTTGATTGTTAACTTCGAACTAAATCTTGAAAGCAGGATCTCTTGGTATTATGGTGGTTATCATTAACAACAATAGTAACCTACAAGGAAACTGATACTGTTTAAACATGACGTGATGTTTCAGTGAATAAGTGTATATGTAGATTGTAAACAACACCAAACATATATCCTTTTGAAAAAATAGAAATTCTATCCATTGTTCAAATAATCTCAATAAATTACATTAAGACGACTATGTAGTAATTTATAATTTGTAAACCAACACTGTCTGTAATAGAATGTAGCCAGAGTTCAATATGTCAAAATACAAATTTATCTGAAGCATGTAGCTAGCTAGAATAGGTATAGACTTAAAGAAGCCACTAGTGAACCGAATAATATAGTTTCGACCTATGAGGTTTTTGACTTTAATTCCTAACTTTTTCAAAAAAGATTTAGATCCGTTCGAAGTCAGCTTAAAATATTATTTAAAATCAAATTTACCACTTTATACTTCTTCCATAACCGTTGTCAATATTCTAATAATCCTCACTAATAATGACATGAAGTTTGTACATTGATTCTAAATAATTATTACTATTTGATAAATCTTCTAATTGAACGCTAGATTCGGTTTCCTAAATTCTTCCAGTAATTCCCAGGCTAAATCGACACGGCAACCAAATACAAGAGAAAAGGCGCGATATATAGAAAAAAATCTTATTACAAGGCTCGTTTATGTACAAAACATCTAGGGTATTTAGAGCATTCCAGACGGCCTTATGTTACTTGGAAGTTCTGGAACTCTTTTAAAGATGGTTGCAATATACTTAATCATCAAATCGGCGTTTTCAGAGCCCCTTTTGGCTTTCTTCGCGGAATTTTCTGGATCTCCCAAACACTATGGTTTATAGGTTACAAAGAGTTGATGAGAGTTTACAAATAAATGAATTCACCGGATTCTGATACACTTATTGCTCTGTATTTAGAAAAAATAAACACTCTCTTTCTAAGCTAAACTATTTAATTGTGAAACTTTCATTGCTGTTCTGAACAAAGTTGTCAACACTCCCCTTAAATGTATGTGACATCACTAAGAATTGTTTCGTTTTTATTTAAAGTAGGTTATGATCGAGAGTGGCGAAAGCTTTAATATTAAGATCACTCAAGTCATAAAATAAAACATTGGATTCACTCATTTATGATGCATGTTTGCTTTTACATTCCAGATCCTGTTTCGTTATGATTTGTCTAGCTTTATATTAATTTTCGTGAAAAATGACTTTTTTTAAACGATATGTTGTCGTGTTTTGCAAAAGAAGAAAGTTGGAATGGTAATGTATTCAGATGTAAGCCAGTATAAGAAATGAATACATCTGTATCAGCAGTATTATTAATACCAAGTCATATCATCTATAGATTTTAACTTATTGATTTTTAGAAACGGAGCTTAAACTAAAATTTTGATCTTAGGATATTTCGTACTTATGGTTAAATAATTATTGATAGCTGTTAATAACTCTTGACTAACACAGGAAAATCCATAGTCCCTGAAAAAATGAGTAGTTTAGTCACTCACACGATTGTTGAAAACTTCCAGGATCTCATTCGACACTACTGTTACGCGTAACGACATTTGTACTGAATGCGACGATTTCTTGCAGGATATAAATATATACTCCATGTGATCAGTTTAAAATCAAGGAAATCAACACAGTCACATGACAAATGACATTATAGTGTTTATCAAAAATTAACTTAACTATAAAACCTTTTTTATCAAGGTAAATGTTTTATAGATAAAGCGAATTTACAAATCTGTCATGGTCAACAATATTCTCGAAGCACTTTGATCAATCTAATAAATATAAAACCTTTATTTAAGTTAGCCTTCTGTAAACGTAAAAGAGAAATTAGTTTTTGTACAACAGCTTTATAAATATTGTTTGATTTGAAGAGAATTTACATTATGGATTGGCTTTAACTGAGCAACTTTTGAAAAATAAATAGCAATGAACAATTGTTTCATTCTAGTATGATACTTTATTCAGGTATTCACCTACATATTTCTGTGGTGATAACTGATTTGCTAATAGTCTAGTTTGTAAAGTCATTATGATCTATAATAATTCATAGGCTGACAGGGAATCAATTGTAAGAGGTTACCTATCTCATCACCAGTTAATAACTAACACACTTCTGATCAGTGACAGATACCGTGTTCGTCTAGTCCTTGGTTTTCGGATTCTACCAATCAAACTGTAATATGAATAAATATTCCAGTCTTACAGGAGGTCAGTTAATGTCTGAATAGATCAATGGTAATGTATCAAACTACATAACTGAGTGATGCATATTCGAATATCATATAAAAAAAGTCCCTTCAATTTTACCGGTGTTTTTCTGACAAGTGCCAACTCGCACAAAACCTAGATCTAGGATTTCCTAAGACAACATCCAACCACTTAATGTCAGTTAATATTTTGTGATTACTTAAATGATTAGAGTATTAAGGTACACTGAAAACTGTTTTCTCCGTAAACTTCTGTCGACTGGAGAACCATTAAAATCTTGTAGTATTGGACATTTGTTTTGTTTTAATCTGGTATTATTGACCAGTGTGCACTCATGAAATATAAACAAATTGTAGGATTCAAGACCGATTATAATTCTTTCCTGAACATCAATGTGGGGAAAGACAAACCATTAAGAATATTTCTCATACAAGTTCATGAGTCAAATGAATAAAACCGAAATTTCAGAATAAAAATTGCTAATTGAACTAATACAACAATTTACACCGTCGCAGACAAAAACATCACGAAATGAAAAATAGCAATCTTCACCTGTTTGACGATCTTAATTTTTATCCAGCAATAGTAATTTACCGTCTTTTAATTAACTCACCTAACAAAAATGTTACATTTAACATCTTAATACATTTATTCAGTTGATCATTTGTTCTATCCTTTGAAATGTTTAAATGAGATTCGAAGACAAGTTGTCAGTAATTTGTTACTTCAATTATCCTAATCATTTTATTTATTTACTGATCAATTGGACTGTCATAACATTATTATAGTTTAACATCTAGAAACCTTTTGAAGTAATTCACAAAAATTTATCTATTCTAAGTTCAGGAAATCAGTCATATATCTGTTCCTTTCAAAACACTACCATTACATGATTTCTTTTAGATTACAATCACTAACTTTCAATTTTAAGTTATCAGTATAAAACTATTTTAATCTACACTCTTTCTGAAGGTTGCTCAATCTTCAGCTATACAAAAAGAAAGATAAGTCTATTTATTAAAATCTCTATGAAAGTGAAGTTAAACTTTTTTATATCTACCAAAGAATCAATATAAAAAAACTTTACAAACCAAAAAAAGATGTAGGTTAGATTATCATAACAACTTACTACCCTTCAGAATTAATTACTTTCTAAAGAAATAAATAATTAATAAAAGTATAGAATAATTTTTTTATTAAGCTAAAAGTATTATTCTTTAAGGAGTCCCGTAATAGGACGAAACAGTCGTCCAATGCTTCTAGGTTTTTCATGGTGGTCTAGCTTCAATTGACTCATGATTTCAACTGTTGAAATGAAATGAAATTATTCCCTTTTTTAGATTAAAAATAGAATTTTCAAAATCATGTTTTGTGGTCTGTTATCAAATGTTTGTTTGCTTCTTTGTTTGTTGTTGTTGTCAGGAACAATCAAAAATGGTTATTTTTCATTGTTATAGTATTCAAATGGAAATGAATTACATATCACAGATTTTATTATTGAACTAAATAATAATTAGATTTTACTATTCAATAAGAATTTAAGGTAGATCTTTCATGTTATTTAAATGTAACATAAAAGTAAATAGGGATTGTTAAATGAATCAAGAAAATACTTTTATAAACAAGAAAATCCTTTAAATGCTACATTTAAATTAACCTCTTAAAATATTGCATGATTTTATAATTGAATTGTTGAACATAATTGTTGAGATTTTTTACTGAGGCTTGACTACAGTAATCATCATCTTAATTCTCGAAATATTATACATAAAGATAATAGATTACCATCATTTAATAGATTTCAATTTAAGGATTAAAATGACGGTTAAAGTCTTGTGACCCAATTTAGACATCGACACTGATACACAACGATATCCGGTCGATGATTACTGACTAAGATGGATTGCTCACTCTAAATTTCACTAACATCAACTATGTAAATTATAATCAACTTGTAATTTGTGAGAATTCCAATACATCAGTAGAAGGAAGTTATACAGTTGCAGAGATTGATCAAATACAAACATGATTATGTACAATGGGAAAATACAAGTCCCAGAGTTTATAACCGAAAGTTATGTAAATTGAATAACTTTTTTTATTCGGTTTTAAAAATTGTCAATAATATGTATTAAATTCTAATCCCTAGAGAAAACAACTACGAAGAAATTGACTTTTAAAGCTTTAGGGTAGAGTAATATACACTTTAAATCTTAACTAATGATATATTGTAATTTTATGTTGACTATGATACAAGTTTCCATAATACCCACCTAAAATTAGTACTCACATATAATCATTTCAGTTCTTTTTAGGATTCAGTGAACATATTTAAACTAGTTGAACGTTTTTTTTGTATCTACGGAGTAAGAATTGGTCAATTTAAATAGACGAACAGATGTTGTAGATAAATTGCTCCCAAATGCCCTGATATGGCTGAGGGTGGGGAGAGTCCGCTCTCCCTCTCGAAATGCTCTCACATAGCTACGCGTATATAGCCTCGGCCAGGGCAGTCCTACACACTGCTTTCTCGTGGCAGTGATGTTTTTACGAAACTGAGAGGACGAAAAGCGAATGTCCGTAGCTTTAATCGGGTCGGTGGATATAGTGCATCCCCTTAGGAGTGTTGGAAAACCCTGATTCCAAATCAATGGTGCACATGAGCTCCAGTATCTCAAGGGACAAAGTGACGTATAAACTAATTGTTAGTTACCGACTATCATGGAACTGCATCTCCTTACGATGCTCCACTGCCTTTTGGATCAGACCTTCAGATCCAAGGGTACGGGTGTTGCACCCTAAGGAAACCACCTACTTTGGTCTGGGCATCATATGTAATTAATAAATACTGTAATACGTACAATATCGGATTTTTTGTGTATGCTATTACAGTTATACTCAATAAGTGTATTTGGAAAAGAATCTAGCGAATTTCAGTTTTTATCTTTAAATATAAAATGACATCACTTTGGTATATATTCATATAAACCATTCAACACATTGCTTAACATTGAGAACAACCTCTTTATAGGCAATAATCGACAGTACTGTTTGTCGACACTAAATGCACAAAAATAATAAAAAAAACCGAAAATGTTGGAATAAGCTTATTAAAAGCGACATGACTATCAGATTTTTTCAACTATATATATATATAAACACAATATGAAGCAAGTTAATGATAATAATTTTTGTGGTGCTTGAATATATTTGAAATGTGAAGTACTGTGCCAGAAAAATGACATTTTCAATCCATTGAAAAATGTACAAGTGCTTGAACAAAATAAGTGGAAATAAGTAAAAGCCTAAAACAGAAGAAAATGATTTAAGTGTTAAAATAGAATAATTTTGAACTAGTGTATCTCGATTTCCATTGGTAACTAAACGAATAACTTTATATGACTGAATAATGTTTCAATGGTTCAGAAGTAGGTTCTATTAGAATGATTTATTATCTTTTGAAGTCAGTAATAATGATATTTATGTTTTCATTTGTAAAGTATGTGACGCGAGGATCATTTAGTCGGACACAACTGTACATGATTTGTTATTTATCTCTATATAAATATCAAAAGTCATACAAAATTGAGTACAATGAAAGTAGGTCACATAAATACTTTTAAATTTTCAAAAAATATTAATATTTAGCATTTTATCAGAATAAGGTTTGTGGAGAGTATGGTAATTTAATAGTTGAATTCATGAGTCAATTGAAGCTAAACCACTAGGGAAAACCTGGAAGCATTGAACGGCCATTTAGTCCTAGTATGGGACTCTTCAGCAGTGCGCATCCACTATCTGTCTTTGTTATGTTATTATGGTAATTAATTTATGCAACTTGAAAAATTCTTAAATGAAAGTAAATACAAGTTATTTGTATTCATTGGTAAGATCTAGATATTTTAAAATTAACTAAAGATTAACTAACACTTCAAATTACTGTTTAACATTCAAATAACGAGTATGTTCATGTATGTGATTAGACAAAAATTAATTGTTGTTTGCATAAAAACTCCATACTTTCCATAGAAACACCAACGAAATTTACTTATCATTTTCCAGAAGATATTAACCAAAGTTAGCATATTAACATTTTTTATATTTATTTCACTTTAAATAACTAAGCAATATTAAGAGTACTACCATTAAGTCTAATGTTTTCAATATTACACAACAACTGGATCATAATGTTGAAGCATGCTGTCATAAGAGACAGAAAGAGTGAAACAATTTTATTCTAGATCATCGAATGTTTAATGATTAATCGATTACACCATTAGCTCATAATAGTGGTAATCAAGAAAAGCACAATCAACTATGAATTATTCTAGTTGATTGCAAAATAGAAGCACACATAAGCATGAAACAGAATAATTGTGATGAACAACAAATAAAACATCATTGATTAATATAAAACTGATCATTATAGGTGTCATTGATAAGGTTGAACTTTATAGTTTGAAATAAATGGAGTACTGGATAGATTGTTAATAACAATTGAATCCCGTGGGGTGCGGGATCGTGGATGCGCACTGCTGAGGAGTCCCATACCAGGACGAAACGGCCTTCCAGTGCTTCCAGGTTTTCCATGGTGGTCTAGCTTCAATTGACTCATGATTTCAAATACTTAAATTACTAAAATCTCCACAAAACCGCTTCTGAAAATAACAAATATGCAAAGCAATTTCTATCCCACTACTTCATATTACAAATGTATACATTTTTCATACCCATCTTCAGACGCAAAAATTAATACAATGACATGTCACACAAATTTATCTTGACCAAAAATAACTTGACATTGATATATTTAGACCTATTGTGGTTTTGATTGTACTAAAAATATTTTGCATTGTTTCCTTTGTGTTATTTAAACTTGTGATAACTTAATATTGGTTATTTGTTCACTTTGAAGAAGTGGCTTAGATTAAGTCACAAAATGTCAGATATACAATTTTCTACACATTAGACTATCACAAAAAGTATATTTATTTTATTCAAATTGACCAATGGCTTTATAGTTAACTTCCTCTCTTATTTATTTGATTTGCTTCATCTAAATATTGTAAAAATAAGCATTGGTTGATTATTAATTCTTGTATGACTTCCCAGTTCTATAAAAGCCTAAATTGAATAGAATTTAATTGACTATTGACATTGAAAACGGAATGAAATTAACAGTGATTTATACTTGTTTCTCTGATGAGATCGATGGACTATTATTTTGATCACTAGGATAGTCACAGTCATATTGTTCATCAGTTTCTTCATGTAGATGCTGATCAATAACTTCATCATGTACATTACATCCAAGATATTTACTATAGTTATATTTTAAATGTTTTTCTGGTTTATTATTTTTCTCAGTAATTTCATTTGAATCCTTTTGTTCCATTATCTTATTTTTATTATACCAAATACACCAAGCTTTATTTGGTAGTCCTGAATAATGTGAATAACTGCCTCCTTGTAAAGATTCGATAACTGCTTGTTGAAAACTAGATCCAGATGGAATAATAAAGTGCTCATTAATTGGATCTTGTTCATTAGGTTCATAGAATAGAAACAGTAAACCATTAATGATAGCTTTAAGGCCCATTCCACTGATTTAACCGTGAAAAGAAAGAAGATACAATAGAAGACAATAGAATCATAATAAAAGTTTTATATCATTCATAATTACTAATAATACCAGTACTATTAACTTGAAATGTAAAACAAAGATCTTTCGCTTTTTGTTCAAAATATTGCTGTTTTTATCATGTATTATTCTATATTGTAAGTGATTTACATGTTTATATATGCGGAAAGGCTGGGATAATACAAAAAATACTCAAACTACATTGATTGATAGGTAATCTTTAGTTGAGTTTCTACGCATGTTTGCATTAGCCAAAATGGTATATCTGCATTCATATTATCCTTGACGTTCAGCCATTGTTAACTAATGTCATAGCCTGAAACATAGTTTCCACGTTAACCTGGCTACAACTGTCCTATTATAGAAATAAAATGTTTAGATACTTAGCGTCGATACAGTAATTAGCGCTATTTTATTTATTCCTTAGTCCTGATAAGACTCTGTTAATGTCAGTACACTATTGTCATACGTTTGAAGGGTTCAAAGTCTAAGTGTAATTTATTTGACGTTAAGCAGTTGAAGCCAGTCACACCATGACATTGGAAGGAAAGAATTTTTGCATCAAAAACAGGTTGAAACCCATTTGAGTGAAAATGATTCGACGAGAATAAAAAGACAGTATAGTGTTTTTCCCAAAACCTGTGTCACAGACGAAAACTGACAGAAGAGTTGGTTCAATCTGGATGAAAATGCTCTCAAAGTGAGGGAAATTAATTCATTGGACTTTTCTTTGGAACATTCAATTATAAGATATTAATTTTCATGCAATGAAACTACACGAATAAAATAATTCTGGAAAGGATTGTTCCATAATATTTAAAATGTGGCCTCATAATTATGAAGTTGCGCCACACAAGAAATAAATCGTTTATATAAATACAAACATGTGTTTACCAACACTTAGTAGTTAATCTGTGTACAAACAAACCTGTTCAGAACAACTGTAGTAGTTAGTATTCGAAACTTACATATTCCAGTTTTGAAGTAAATTAAGGCAAACAGCTCCACCAATATCATAATCTTCAATATTTGGATGATATATATGACTCATGCAACGAACAACTGGGGTTTCTCCATAATGTTCCAAACGAATTATTATCTTTCAAAAAAATAAATAATTAAAGTACACGGAAACAGAAAACATTAGAAAATCCAAGTTATTATTTTGAAACATACGTATTACTTAACTTTGTCAAACATTTCACTTATAAATTACGCTAATATATGGAGCGAATAGATGACATATGATGTCGCAAAGTGGCATGGCAAGTCAGATTTAGGCTTAGGTTATCTATAGTGAGAAAGTAAATCATTCATATATCCAAAGGTTACAACTTACAGATTCATGTCAAATTCCATTTATTAACTTTTAAATTTACATGAGTTTTACGCTCATTTGGTAGTATGATTTCCTACGGAAGCTAAATTTTACCTTGTCTAACGGAGTTGTCAATCTCTAAATGTGTCACTGTAGCAGAACTAGACCCCAGTTCGTAAATCATTCTGAAAAAAAGTGAAATGTAATATGAACTTTTAATTTATTGTTTAAAATCGTTTTAATGCATTGCTTTTTACCAGTGTCAACATTGTTTTTACTGAAAGAATGTTCAATACAAGGTAAATATATCGTCAAGTTGTTGAAACTAAAAGCTAGATAATTAATATTTTACCTTGATCTTAACTGATTAATTTCCTTCTAATAAGTTCAGGTTCTGACATACAATCATTAAGTAAAAACTTAACATTTTAATTTCATGATTCCAACATGTCTAGTAATCAGATATGAATCCTAAAAAATAAACGGACACCTTCAAGCGTTAGGTGGATTTTACCAGTAATCTTTTAAAAGCTTACGAAACTAAAAATATGATTTGTTAAACTAAGCATATAAATAGATTGATAATGAGAAGTGGTTACACTGAACTGATTCATTAGTTAAACTTTAAAAAAAAACACAACTATATCAGTCTTATTATAATACTAAGCAATAAATTTCCTAGCAAATAAAATTCAAATTTCGTTTGAGTCTAATCTGTCACTTCCACAATGTAATTCCCATTAAATAATATGTGAGAATAATGCATTTGAAAATTTGTGTACAGTATACTTCAGGAATAGGATTCAATCAATCAAATTATTTGGCATTTCTTAACTGAAAAGTATTACGTTATTTGAACTAGTTAAGTGACATTCACATCTTGGAGAAAGATGTACTTTATGTCAATTCTACTGTATCACATGTTTAATTAAGGTTTAAAGTAGTATATTTAAATTTCATTTGAATATCAATTATATTTTTATTAAAACAAGGATAGTAGAACTTCAGACACTAACAAAATTATTCATTATATCATAATACATCTATCTGAAGATTGATGTATTATTTAAATAACTATCGATTTGTTAAAAATTATTCTTCTCATTAGTAACAAGTCTGCAAAATTAAAAAGAAAACAAATGTCATTTGTTTATGATTCCTCAAACTGTAACGACAATTTATGATTTAATAGGTTGATTGAATGCAAATATCACACCATCTGAATGTGAATAGTAGTTGTAGATTCATTTAATGCTAAGATTAACTAAATTCACTTAATTATAATTTGAAACTCGTTGAGAATACTTTTTATGAATATCACAAGAGATTAGGTCAAACAGAATCTGATCTTACAGTATAAACTAAGTCGTAAGATAATTAGTTTAGAATTTTATGATTCTTATTTTCGATTTCAGTCAAATTATCACATGACGAAATTCTCATTTATTTCAAACACAAGATTTTCTCAGATTGGTTTTGTGGAGATTGTAGTAATTTCAATGGTTAAGATCATGAGTCAATTGAAGCTAGAACACCATGGAAAACGTGGAAGCACTGGACGGCCTTTTCGACCTATTGTGGAACTCCTCAACAGTGCTCATCCACGACCTCGCCCACTACGACATTCCAACCCAGGACCTACTGGTTTCGTGCACGAGCACTTAACCACTAGACCACTGAGCCGGCAAACAGTTGAATGGAGCAAAATCAATAACAAGATCGGCAATCAGGAGAATAGACTAATTTTTGTAGTAGAATGGCAAGCTTATATACGAAATATTAAATGAGCAAATAAACATTATTGAATCATTAGCTAAAACATAACAAAGTGGACGATTCAGATCAAATAAGTCATTCAAACAGCAATGAAATTAAGAGTAAACCATCAAGCTTAATTCTTACCCGATATATCAAACCCCCATCATCATGGCAATATAAGATATAAGGTCGGATACAAAGTTGAAATAAATAACTGAATTTGTGTAAATAAAGACTGGTTAAGATTGTTTATTTAGTACTTGCAGCACTTGAATCACTGCATGTTTTATTAGCAAAGGAGGTTTGTGAAGATTTTTCATTTGAAGACAATTCATGTCAGTGACTTACCTCAAACAGACAGTCAGTAGAAAGATCAACATAGTGGACATAAATATATCTCAGCTTTAAATACAATTAATGCAAATATTTTCGAGATTGATGTTATCAACACTCAATAGACTTAAATTCTGTCAAACTTATCAAAACTCACAACTTCAATAAATAGTCAGTCAGTCACTTCAAATACAAATTATTCTTGATAATATATATTTGAAAATACTTATTTAATGATTGACATTTTTGCATCTTGAATATGAAATATCATGAAATAATAACATGAATTACTACAAGTGACTATATATCTAAAGTACATTATGTTACAAAGATAATACGATGTGAAAGGTACATTAATTTTTTGAAAACATTCATAATTTATTATTCAGCTTATTGTTTAATGATCCAATATGTGTGTGTATGAATGAAATTTATTTCATTGAACACATAAATACTGGTACAAAGAAGCACCAGATACATATGCGCCACACAAATCTCATTTGATATGTGTGAGGGTTGTGATAATGCCCGGGTGCTCGAATCGAAATATGTGGTTTCCTAAGGGAGCCAAACACGGAGCCTTCGATCTAAAGTTTTGATCCACAAGGCAGTGGAGCATCGTAACAAGGTGCAGTCCCATGGTAGCCGGTGACCAACATTAGGTTCATACGACAATTGTTCCCTCAAGGTACTGGAGCCCATGTACACCATTGAGTTGGAATCAGGGTTTTCCAACTCCCCTAGATGGAGTATTCATGATCACCAACCCGGTTAAAGCTCCGGACATTGGCTTTTCGTCACCTCAGTTTCGTAAACAACACCGCCGTCACGAGAAGGCAGTGAGTAGGAATTCCCTGACAGAGGCTATATACGCGTAGATATGTGAGAGCATTTTGAGAGGGAGAGCGGACTTTCCCTACCCTCGGCCGTATCAGAGCATTTGAGGGATACCAACAAATTAATGAAACAAATGTTGTTATATGTATTGAAGTTATGGAACTTAATACGTTAGTTTTATAATGGTTTGAAAACGTTTTATGAAATTGACTGTTTTTGCGCGTGATTTTCAGATTAACAATGTAGTTATGGTAAATTATTTACCAATGTATTCTTGTTTCTTAAGTTCATTAGTTAGCATTATTTTTTTTTGCAAATTATTCAAAATTATTAACTCAAAACTTATTACAAGCTATCAGCATAGAGAATAAACGTGTAATAATACGGTATTATATGTATATACAAGTAATTGTAATTGATGTTCAAATATAAAATGAAGTTAATTGTTCTATCTTTCATATTTTCAATGAACGTATTATTCTTAGTTAGGAACTCTGAAATAATTTTTACTAAATGGTGAAGGAAATATAACTTGAATATAATAACTAACTTATATTTGTGGTGGATGACACTTATGAGAGACAATTTAATAATTGTATTGAAAGTCACTAAAATGACAATAAGCTAGTACAGTAAGGTAAAATTTATTCAGCTAGTAACTAGATGATCTAATTATACACTGAAAGTTATAGCTGTTAATTATTAATTTTCAATTGAGGTCACTTGATTCACAGAACCTTTTTCAACTATGACACTAACTTGTTATTAATATATTTTAAAATACTTATTCTTGAAGAAGGTTACATTAGCCGTAAAAAGAGAGTTCTATCTAAACGCAACTTTGAGCATTATCGTGCATGGTTTTCGAAATTAGTATGTACAATAATAATCACTTCCTCAATGTTAAAATACCCTCACAATTCTGGTTACAGTGATTCATCGGATATATTCTTCAAAGTCATCTATGCGGTCAAAAGACTGTATTCGAAGGAAGCATAAATCACTAACCTATGCACTGTAGAAGTGTCAGTGATTCATCGTTTTACAATTCAATTCCGTGTGAAAAAACAATTTATACAAGCTGTCATTTTGTCGTCTTAGTTTTCCTTTCTCCGTAAAGTACTTTTAAAATACATCTTTCTATCTTTTATTTTGTTCATTTGTGATCTTAGTTTAATCTTCTCCTTTTCCATATTCACGAAGTGAACAACTAGATTTCATATATTTTTTCATCTTAACATTTTCATACAATTTCTCAATCGTTGCATAACTCTCTAGTGATACTTTAAATTTTAAAACACTTTGTTATATAATCCCTTTTTTATTTTATTCATTAAATCATTATAAATACAAATGTACAGCTTGAGTAAATGGGATCATCAAAAAAGGAATAGATTTTATTTACTGAATTGTTATTAATTTCTTTTCATTAAAACAATCAGTTACTTTGGTTATTATTTTCCCTAAATAATTTATTTATTATGAATAGTATCTGTATCAAAGAATGAGTGAATAATTATTGATCCTATTAACTATACCGATGAACATGGTGGGTCTGATGCAGATGTGAAATCGAGGATCGGCAAAGCAAGAGCAGCATATTTACAACTGAAGAACATCTGGAACTCAAAGCAACTATCAACCAACACCAAGGTCAGGATTTTCAATACAAATGTCAAGACAGTTCTACTGTATCGAGCAGAAACCTGGAGAACTACGAAAGCCATCATCCAGAAAATACAGGTGTTTATTAACAGTTGTCTACGCAAAATACTTCAGATCCATTGGCCGGACACTATTAGCAACAACGTACTGTGGGAGAGAACAAACCAGATCCCAGAGGAGGAAGAAATCAGAAAGAAGCGCTGGAAGTGGATAGGACACACATTGAGGAAAGCACCCAACTGCGTCACAAGACAAGCCCTCACATGGAGTCCTCAAGGTCAAAGGAAACGAGGAAGACGAAAGAACACATCACGGCAGGAAATGGAGATAGACATGAGAAAAATGAACAAGAATTGGATGGAATTAGAAAAGAAGGCTCAGGACAGAGTGGGTTGGAGAATGGTGGTCGGCGGCCTATGCTCCATTAGGAGTAACATGCGTAAGTAAGTAAGTAAGTAAATATAAATTATACACAACCAACTATTGTAAAGAACATTTTAGTAGCATTATTCGAATATCTAATGCATCCTATTTATTAAGTTTGTGATTAGCATTTTCAATATTAAAATATATGTAATTGTTTACTAATTATATTCTGCCTGTTATAATCTTTCTTTTATCCTGTAAATTACCATTAATTTAATTTGGTTTCTATCTAAAACAATTTACCTACTCGAATAATAATAATAATAATAATAATAATAATAATAATAATAATAATAATAATAATGATAAATTTACACTGTTAAAAGTGATTATAGTTTATGGATATATAAAACTGTTGGGAAAGGCTTTATGATAAATCGTAAAGGGAACGAATCAAGATTAATTGTTGGTAAAGAAATTAAATAAATAGTTTGATATTGTTATTCTAATGAATCTAAAATCTAAGCCTATTCTTATATTCTCGACTGAATTTTGCCAAACAGAAAAAAAAACAAATCAAGTTAGAAATCAGTTAAGATGATATAATACAGGAACTAAATAATTTCATGTCAAAGAATAGAATCATCAAGATTAAGGAACAAAATATTCTGGTATTTGAGTATCAATCTTTATTCAACAAACTAGGTCACTTGATTAGTAATAAATATATAATGAAAGAAATACAAAGACCATTTTAAAGGATAGCTTGTGTCATATATTGATCTCTTTAAAAATTTAACTATTCATGTAACTCAAAACTATATATCAACTTAACCAAAATCATAGAGACTTAAAAATCAAGCCTAACAGATTTTATATCAAAATGTCTTTTTTCAATTTTTCAGGCAATTCGATATAATTTTTACAGATGAATATATTATTGATTGAGTTTCGCGTGAGAGATGAGGGTGAGCACTGTTGAGGTGTCTTATACTAGGACGAAAAGTCCGTCCAGTGCATTCAGGTTTCCAGTGATGTTATAACATTGATCGGTTCATGATCTTAATAAAAAAAAACTCAACAACCTATACAACCTCACACCGATATATATCATTTACAGATAAAACTAATGTTACATGAATTCAAAGTGAACAAAATTATGCATTATAGAAATTTTATACATTCTCAACAGTTTAAGAATTCACCTCATTACTTATTTTTGTACTTAATAAACTTGATGATACTGAACATTAATGCAGATATGTATATTTTATTCAGAGAAAATGTTTTTGGATATTATAGTAATTTAATAGTTCGATTCGTTAGTCGATTGAAGCTAAACCCTTACGGAAAACCTGGAAGCATTGGACAGCCGTTTCGTCCTATTGTGGGACTCCTCTGTAGTGCGTAACCGGACTCAAGACCTATCAATCTCGAGTACGAGCGCTTAACCACTAAACCATTAAGCCTGCATTCAACGGTGCTAATGCCTATTTCCAACCAATCCACGAAAGTGAGCCACCGTCTACCGTTGAATCTCTCGGGACGGGATCATCGGTGCGCACTGCTGAGGAGTCCCATACTAGGACGGAACGGCCGTACAGTGCTTCTAGGTCTTCCTTGGTGAACTAGTTTCATTTGACTCATGAATTCAACCAATAAATATGTATACTTGTCACAATTCTATTGTACAAATAAATTTACTCAATGTTTTATTAACTTTTAGCTTGATTGACGTATTCCAAATAAAACATTTATACTAGTTATTAACTTGTGTTCGAAGATTTTTAAAAAGAAACGATCAACAAAAAATCATAAATCTAGTTTTTTGCTCTATTTCACACTTATTAGTAAGACTTATTTGTAATCATAATAAAGTTGATAATATTCAGCATAATATTCAAAGTATTTTAACCTAGTACCATACTGGAGGATATTATCACTGAATTCTATAGATCAGTATGAAATAAATAGATAAAATAATTATGGTTATTAATGAATGATATACTGGTATGGATAATAAAATTATCCTATACACTAGAATCATTAAAAGAATAAAAGGTCTATGTATTATGTGAAAAGATAACAGACTATGAAAAACTTAGCACACTTAGTATTATTAAAGAGTTAATATCTAACAAATGAACAGTTTAAAATCATTTAATATCACTAACCTCAAATTCATATTCAGCATGAGCGTATAATCCTTCATTAGGAGAGATTTTCACGCGAAATTGTATTTCATCTGACTGATTTGAATCATTACTATTATCATCCCATGATAAAATTTTAGCTTGTCCATTGGTTTCAATTTCGATCATACAGATTAACTCTGATAATTGTCTCCATACTACTTTATACATTGATATATGTATGTTTTAGCATCTATTCATTCATATGAACTATTTAGATGCAGTATGCATATATATATATACATCATGAAATTGTTAAGACAACTTCAGATTACCTTACTACATGGATCGATATTTGTAAATTAAAAATTTCTATGTTTTTAGTTGTTGTTATTGTGATTTATTCACACTTTCATTTACTCATTTGTATTCTTTGTTTTGTTCTCATTTAAAAACAAACAAGAAATACAATTTGACACGGTACGTAAACTTTTTTTATTATTTTAGATTGATTATTCTTTTGTTATGAATTTCTAAAAGTTTTAAAATATTTTCTTACTTTGATTAGTTAAACTATTGAAGATGTTAATGTATTAATAGTCCATTGTCGATACGTATAATTATAATCTTAAAGGATCAAAAATAAAAACAGTCCTTAAGAAATTCCTAGTTAACAAGTAGTTTAATATGCAGAAAACGTTTGGGGAATTATAGAAAGTAATGACAATATGTCAATGATTTAACATGTAATCAAACTCAGGAAGCTATAGTTTTTCACTAATCAAAATACCATCCAATTACTGCGTTAAAATCCGAAGGTTCATAGTTTTTTTAATTCTTTTTAAATTATACACAATTGCCCCATCGCCAAAGAACCCATATAAATCGGAAAATATTTATCATGACATGCTTCCAATTATTTTTTTCAACCATATTTCATTCCAAAAACAATGAATGTCCTTATCAATCTGAATGTCGATAATCTCTCCAGTACAGCGAATGCCCTGAATCCATAAATTCACTCAGAACGAAATAAGAGTGAAAGTGAGTAAATTGTGAACTTGGGAATATATTAGTAAATAACAAATTAAATTAAGAATACATTATTTAGTCTAAAGTGATTGATATCTTCTATGTTGTTTTACTATCTCTCCTTGTAAATGACTGAACCTTGTTCCGACAGCTTCGGATTAGGCAATGTTTTATGATATGATATTAATCCTTAAGAAACACAATCTAGAGGACTTTAAATAAACTGATCACTTGATGATTTGTAATGATTGTTCTAATCATTTTTCATATAACACATATACTTTACTACAGAGCACAGAAGTATTACATAAATTGTCCTAAAGATAACGTCTATAATACACCCGAATGGAATTGTTTTCCTTAATCGTTCAAGGATCATTAACGCAGATATTCAAATTCATCTACATGGTTTGCATGATAAATTTTGTAAAAGACAGTGTCCAAACATATTCGTCTTACCTAATCTAAAGGAATAACAATGATACCTTACTCCATGAATATAAACATATCTGCTTAAATATTGAAGATCCTATTTAAAAATGTACAACAGTAGTAAGTCGAATGAAAGTTAATAAGTAATTTGAGTTTCATTACAAAATTTACGGAAATTAGTAGTGATAGTATGTTTTCCTCCCTTTTTGATGAACTAATTATAGCATAACACAATGTTATGTTCTCATGTTGATTTTTAAATAAAATTATTCTAAATGATGTTGACATTATTTGTAATATTCATCTGGAAACAGTCCTCTTCATTCAAGCTAAAATTGAATTAACTGATAAAGTTGAAACGGTTGAATGACTTTCATTGCTAGATCTTTGATTATAAAGAATAGATGGTTATATCAGGCTTGCTGTTTTCTAAAATAATGTCGTTAAAAGATTAATTCAATAGCATACACCTTCAATGTCATGAAAAAGAAATAAATTGGTTTACCGAACGTGAGTCTCCTTGCACCACATACTAACACTGAATTCATGTTATTTTATCTTTTTAATGAAATGTCAACTTTTCTAATCGGATTTTCTATCCGAATAAAATTACTAGTATAATCGAGATGTATCATAAACATAAAAAGTTTTTGAAACCAAAGTTATATTTAAAATGGGCATAACCATTGAGTTTACGCATGCATTTGATCGAAAAATTATTGCACAAAATGGTTGTCATTTTTTTCAAATATAATAATGGAACGTTTTTTTATCGACACTTTGATAAGGGAAATAAACAAAAAGTTAGAGTTTAATTGGAAATCTTCGAAAAAGGCTACATATATGACTCCTCTTTATTTGAAAAAGGTGAATTCATTCACTTTAAAACCTATTGATGCAACTTTCTTGATTGTTTCCTGAAGATTTTTTTGTTTAACACTTTTAATTCCTCTCTTTGATGTTCAAACTGAGACTTGTATCCAGTAACTTTCGCACCTAACGCCCAAATCGCTATTTAATGAGCTGATTCACATTTCCTTTTGATAAACAAGATTCTTATTTGTTTATTTATATGAACACATAAAGATTGGTACAAAGGGGCATCAAATGCATATGTGCCACGCAATAACAATGAGAATGTGAAGAGATAGAGAATATAAAGCACATATAAGAAAAAGAACAACAATAATGAACAGAAATTGGTGCATGAAAGTGAGTAATAATAATTATAATCGTAATAATGGGAGGGGCAGTTCAGTTATCAAATGTACAACCAGAAAGTTTTTCAGTTAAAGAGGTTACGTCTATTATTTTATGGAGAAAATAAAAGAAAGTTACAGCAGGATCGACACTAGATTCTACTCTAAACCGTATCTGATAACGTCTACCAACTCTATTTCACCATCTTTAGGACCCAACCAGGAAGTCGTGAAGGACCAACAGAAGCCAGTTCTGTAAACCTTTCTTTCATACCATGACACACACTGATCACCTCACCGCTGTTCTGGGACGATATTCATAGAACATATCCGAGCCACTGGAGTCGATGTTTCAAGATAGTGATACCAATTGAATTATTGTCTCAGAGCTCGAACACACGATGCCGAGCCTCTGCATTACTAACATGGTGTTGCCACTGGATGTCAGCAATCCTTCGGAGATAACGAAGATCAAACGCAGAGAGTCGTGTAACATCCTCAACTCAGGAGGACCAGGTTTCAAAAGCATAGAGCAAAACTGCTCTCACCGATGCGTCGTACATCCGATCTTTTACAGCCAGAATAAAATTACGAAGACGCCAAAGATGGTCCAGATTGACATAAGCCGCATGAATCGATCTCATCTCTTACGCTGACACCAGCATTTACATGGCTACCCAGATAAACGAACTTCTCGACTACTTCTACATGCTCACTACACAGAGTGAGTTCAGGATCAGGGTCCTGCCAATCTTGTAAAAGTACTTTGCACTTCGAAGGTGCAAAGCACATACCATACCTATGGACACTTATTGATAACTGATCGAGTGCGGACTGTATGGCTTGAGTATCATCGTACAGTAAGACAATATCATCCTCATACTAAAGGTCGAGAAGTCTTTCTGCAGGCAACAGAAGCACACCAGCATTACCTACATCTATCAGAGCTGTTTCCAGAAAGTCATCGATAGGAAAGTTGAAGAGTAATGGTGAGATTAAGCAACCCTGCCTAACCCCACTACCTGAATGGGACAATGGAGATAGGTGATTGTATGTCCTCAATCTGTCTGTGTTCGTGTACAAACCTTTCAAGATGTTAATAAACATCACAGTCACACACTTTTTCAAAAAACAATCTCAGATGGCAGTCCTGTCCAATGAGTCTAAGGCAGAACTAATAACATGTAATACTAGAACTGTTGGCCTGTAATACTTATAACAGTATTCTAGACAAAATCTGGGAACGGAATGTAATCCCTTCTAATTGGTCTCAATATATAAGAAAGGATCAAAAGTCATCCTGTGATAACCATATAGGGATAAGTTTGATCAACATAGCATCTAAAATACTAGCCTCAATAATTATCAGACGCTTAACAAAGACTCGTGAACTAACCGCAAACACGAGAAAATCAGACTGACTTCAGACCTGGTTGTGGCTGCATTGACCACATATTCACCATTCGTCAGGCTCCAGAACACAGACACGCTTATCGGCTTCCAACAATGATAGTTTTTATTGACTTAACAGTAGCATTTGACTCTGTCGACCAAGAGGTACTGTGGCGTTGTCTGTCATTGAAAGGTGTACCTTAGGAGTACATAAACCTTGTGAAGGTTCTTTACTCGAACACTACCGGTCGAGTCAGAGTTTATGACAAACCGTCATCTGATTTCGCAACCTCAAGTGGTGTCCGTCAAGGCTGTCCATTTTTGTTCAATTTCATCATATACCTACTGCTGGAAATAAACCTCGTTGACTAAATTTTTGGGGATCGATCTCCAACCAAAAGGTCCGCTTATTGACTTAGAATACGCAGATGATATAAACCTGTTTGGTGAAGACGCTGATAAAATGCAGAGTATTTCGGTAGCACTGTGTGGAGCACAGTGTTTCAAACCGACTGATTTTGTAGATGTGGACCAATTGACGTCAGTTAACTCATAGTAATGAAGGATCACTACGAATCTTGAATGTTCTGAGTTGTAAAGAATCATTATTAAGAAGTTCCACCGATAGGCGAAACAGACCTCCTTTATTGATTTTCAGTAGTTATTTCAGTAAAAAGTATTTCTGAGTTATACCAAAAGTATTTTAGATAAAAATTATATATATATATATATATATATATAATATATTTTCATTGCCAGGAAATGTTTTCAAATACAAAACACTTCGTAATTTGGAAATAATCCAACCACACTTTACTTTCACATTGGTAAGAAACATTTCTTTCTACTTTAGCATGTTCAATATAATGACATCAACGTGAATACGATGAATCATTAAGCAAATCAAAACAACAATAACTTCCTTATAAATATATTTTTTCTTTCTTGTTAAGAGAATGTTAATAATGTGCACTCTAATTAAATTATTCATTCATATGACATAATTAAACATAAAATCGGATCAATTACATTTTAATGCCTAATAACAATCAGCTATTCAATTACTTAATTTGTGTTGAACAATAACAACAAAAAGTTATCAACTATGGATATTTAAAAAAAAAACTTATCACGGTATATTTTCCAAATTCGTCATTCTCATTATATTCTACTATTAATGTATCATTTAATTTTTGGCAA